AAGCTTTTGGCAGACTGTTCTGGTCACTTAAATTTATAAATCAGTAAGAGCCAATACATTTTAGTTGGCTATAGACATTTTACAATAAAATTAAGGAAAGAAATTCATTTTTGTCAGCCTGTGAGAGTCTTGTCTAATCCTCGTTTCTCTATGATAACACAGACTTTAAATCTCACACATTTCCAAAGGAGTACTTATCCATTAAAAAAAATCCTACAGAATTTCATGTGCACATTAGGAGTAATAGATATATCTTAGAATTTTTCAGGTTTATCATTAGAACCCTGGTAATATTTTAGAAAAAAAATAAAATTACAAAGAAGTACTTTATTTATTTGGAACTGTAAAATGGGTTTGATATCAGTGAATCTTTCAGTCCTGAATTATGTTATGTAGTAATTTTTGAAACATGTAACAATCTTTTAAGCCTTTTGTGACTGTATCTGAAACTGTCTTCACAAAATTTCTTAAAGAATATTACTGTTGTAAGAAAACCACAGACCCTCATCTTTGTAAATAACATAGTAACATTCCTGGGAACTACAACAATATTTTGAGCTCCTGTCCCTGTAGTAAATGGCTTTAGAGAATCACGTTTTATGAATTCTGAAGCCTGCTTCTTGCGTTTTATCTTTTCTTCTTGCAACTAAAATGCCACTTCCTTTGGGCAGCCTTACGTAAATCTCTTAGGTCAATTTTGTCATTCTCTGTGTTTCCTCTGATTTGGTTTGTACATCTATTCTACCACTCATCTTATTATTTTATATTTTGGGGTTTAGTTCTGTCTTATTCTCCTTAACTATAAATTATTTAAGTACTCATTTATCTTTATATTCCAATTATTTAAAACATGCCTTCACTCCTAATAAATGTCAAAAAAAAAAAAAAAGACTTGGTAAACAGTTGCTGATCTGCGATTAAATAAAAATACAGGTCATCCTCTTCTTGTAATTGTATGTAGATAAGAGCACATCAGCATAACAGCTAATGAAGATTCTTCTGTGAAGACCTTTTGGCTTCTTGCTTTGTTGTGGTTCCTTCAAACTTGGAGTTACATTTAGAGGAACAGAGTTGGGAGTTGGCTCCATATGTACAGTGGTCTATATCACCTTTTCCTTTTTTGTACATTTGCCCTAGTTTAGGTCTGGGAAGTAGAATTTTAGTCTATTTTCTGTTCTTGTAGGATCAGAATCCTACAAGGAAACTTCAAGATTGAAAAGAACTCTTAGAACAAGGTAGGCATTCAAAAGTGGGCTCTGTTCTTACAGAAAATACATATGCAGAAATGAATGGCTTACTTCTTGTCTCAGATCATGCACAGCTCGAGATCAGGGAGTTTTCCATTTGTCTTTATATAAACTCCAGGGGGAAAATGGTGAACAAGAGAACATTTAAATATATTCACATTTTAAAATCATGAATTTATGAAAATCCAGTTTCTATTCAAAGTGAGATTTTCTCATTTCAAGAGACAGGTATAGTGCCTGGTATATGTTTAAGGATAGTCTTGACTCTAGAGTAACATGTCATGATCGCAGAACAGCCCATGCAGGGGCAAAGTCAACAAACACCAGCTGAGATGGGTGTTGGGCACAGATCTTGCTCACACTTATTATTTGTCTGGAGAGAAGCAACCCTCCTTTGTGATTTTCAGTTCAACCCTGGATTATTTACAAACATCTTAAACACTGCAAATATAGTAACTATAGTAACTGAAAAGAAAAGCTGTAAACCAAAACCCTAGCAGAAAGGAAGTTATCAGCTCTTTAGCTGAGAGTTGAGATATTTTAGGAAGAAATACCAGAAACCTAAAATCTGCTTCTGATGAACAAACAAGCCAACAACAACAACGAACAACTCAAGAAAACTAACAAAAAATTCTGACAGCCAAGAGGTGGAGGGATTTGAGGAGACAAAGTTATTTCAAAAGACAAGATGTCTAAAGTAGATGCTATTTTCTTATGTTTGACTGATGGGTATAAGTGAGGGACATGGATGGACATTTAACTTTTACTTGTTTATTTTAAAAGACAGTCTATGTATAGATTGTGGAATCTTAATTTATTCCTCATTAATAAATAAGGCCAAGAAAATCTGGTTGTAGATTATTATTTTTAAAAATCCTCATTAAAAACATCCCAAGTTAACTGTACTTGGGGTTTTAAAGATCTAATAATTCACACCTCAACAAATAATTTTTCTGTTAAGACTCCTTTTTATGTATTTTTTAAAAATCTATAAGACATTTAAGACTCAACAAATCTTATGTAACATAAGATCTTATAGGACTACAATGTTAATTTCTTAGTTTTGATCAATATATCATAGACATGTAAGATGTTAACATTAAAGAATACCAAGTGAAAGGTACATGGAAATAACCTTTATGAATTGCAACTCTTTAAATATAAAATTATTTTAAAATAAAAATTAATATAAAAGGATTAGCTGTTTGAAGATAGAAGTGACCTGGCTTTATACAGACCACAGAGCTCTAGGATTAGCTCAAGGCTACGCAGTAGTTTTGCAGTAGGTCCCTCCATCCTGCTGCCACTGAGGAGTGGCCTGCTTTTGCTTCTCCTGGACATTTCACTCAGCACTACCCACATGTGCCAGTCCAGGGACCTTCCTTAGATGACTCTAATCTCCTAAGACCCGAAGACACACCAGCACTAATGTGCTGGGTCCGTAAAACTGATCCAAGTGTAAAGCCAAAGGCCAAAAGGCTCAGTCACCAAGTTCATTACCTATTTACTCAATATCCAAAGTCAATATCAATCAACAGCATGGAGTACAATGTGGCACCATTAAATGACAAATTTGACGCATTCACAGACACACTGGGCTATACTAATTTATCAACCACATTTCATTATCCTTTCAGTTGCTCAAAGATTCTCCAACAAAGTGCCATTAAAAATAAAATTCCAAAAGGATGAAGGTGCTAAATTATCACATTCTAGGCTCCTGACTCAGTTTAGATTATCAAGCGTCACCACGACTTGAACAGATGCAAACAAAAAACCAGTTTTAAAATTACATATTAAAATCTTTGTATGCTTCCTATAAGAAAATTGAATTTATAGCCCCTGTGGAATACACCTATAATTTTAGAATAAGCAACAAAAAATGCAGGAACTTCCTGAAGTCCTTATTTCATTGCACTGACTTAGGAAATTTACTTGTAAATTGTGGAAGTTTGATTTTTTTAAAAAATTAAGTTCCAGAGTTTCCCATAGGGTGCATACAGCGTGTCTACAGCACTATTTGAGCAAACACTCTGTTCTGTGTCTTTCAGGATATGGATCTCTAAATTGGGCTAATCCTTAGAGAGTTGTCTTTTTGTTTGGTGTGGACTGGGTTTGTTTTTAACTACCGACGATTTATTTTTCTGTTTAAAGCAAAGTTAGCCTAACTCCTTTACTCTTATATTTCCCAAATCTTCCAGGTAATGGAGAGTATGTTCCATAGAAAAAAAGTCTATATTATATTTAAAGGTCAACTTCTTTTAGACAGTACTTCTCTTGGGGCTGATCAGCACTAATTACTCATTCTGTAAAAAACCAAAACTCAAACCAACACCTGTTCCTAAAGGAGGACTGTGGAAAGAAAGGGAACCAGGGCACCGATTAGCTTGTCTGGAAAGAGCTCTGAAAGCACAGACATGAGGATTCACTGCAGCCTCAGAGAAGGAGCTCTGAGTCCTAAAGTACAGGTTTCCTTGGGAGGATCTGCTTAGAAGATTCCAGTTTTAGTACCTAATTTGAAACACAGCATCTGGTTAATAGACAGTCAGGTAACATCTAGCATCTGGAAGCCCTGATGAAAACAGTTATTCTACTAAAATGTAAAACCTTGCAGTGTGGTGTGTAATCTTACAAATACAGCCAATTGTATATGGGATTTTGCTAAGAAAAGGTTCTCACTTCCCACCAATTAGCCTCTTCCTTTGGCCCAATTTATTTCCCTATAACATAGAGGCTGACAGGCCTTGAAAGAATGCGATGTTTTTTTTTTTGTTTTTGTTTTTGTTTTTTTAATGAGGTGATATACTCTCTATTTATTGAGAACGTGTTTCTGTTTAAGGAGACACAAGCTCCAACATGGCCGTTGCTGTTTTAGCAAAACGTAGATCTTGGGACTGCATGCGAACGAATAAATGTGACTTGTGTAACACAACTTCATTTGCTTATGGTTGATGTCTTTATGAAATAGTTATTCCATGCTACTTATGATGATTTACAATTGGTTTTAGTTAAAAGAACTACGAGAAATAAAGAAAACCAGTATTCACTGAATTCTTCATGACTATAAGTATACAGTAAAAATTAAAGTTCTATTTGTATCAGCATACCATTTTTGTATACATTTCTTTCTGGGGGGTTGGGGACGGTCCTTTGGTGGCAGGATTGGTTTTTAAGCCATATCTCTATGTCTGTCTGTCTATCTATTATTCTTTTATGTTTCCCACAGCTGTTAGTGGTAAGTACAGAGCATCTCAGAGTCCTTTTCTGCTAAAGGCAGCACGTGTATAGATATTTGAAGATTAACACCAGCACGTGGAATACCCACAGAAGTCGTTCTAGGTAATGGGGAGCTTGTTACGCAGAAAACAAAAACAAAAACAAAAATAAACCTGTATTGTATTTAGAATTCACCACTTTTCTTTGGGCTGATCAGCACCAAATACCAACTAGTTCTCTAAATGGATAGGCCTCTGGTGCCACAAAACACAGCAGGAAACAGACACTGCAACAACACAAATCCTAAATCTCACAATTACAAGGCGAACAACCTCTTCCTCCCAGCCCTCAACTTTAAGTCCTCAGAGAAAATCTCCTCTTGGTTGCAGCTTATCTTCAAGTCCTTTCTAACCTCTCCCAGTTTATATATTCGTGTGGTGACACTGTTGCATTATATGTATTCAAATGGATCATCAGCCAGTTGCACAGAGAAAGGAAGCAGCCACTAATCAATGCGAACCACAGTCAGATGTTTACCTTAGTTCCTTGAAGGGGTCTGCCCTGACATTAGGTGTCTCTATAGATTTAGGGAACACTGTGCCCTCGGCTCCTGTAAACAAAAGAAAAAAGCAAACAGAGGTTGGAGACTGTTGGATATGTCACCTGGGGGCACAATCAGCTAAATGCAGTGAATCCTTTATACAACCCAATACACATATACTTTGCCACTGCCTTTAGGGCTCTGTAATAGGAGAGCATGGAATCAACTCATGCAAACAGCCTTTGAAAAAACAAGGCCTTTTTTGA